GCACCAAAACTCACATCCGAGGAATAATAACAGAATGGCACCCAATGTTCAATGGCCTCAACATATGAACCAAAACTACCCGCAGTTTGTATTACAACACCAACAAAATGGTATTTCACTGTCCATTTAGATTAAATTCTATGAATTAATAATTTGTTTTGTTTATAGACTTAAACACTAACCAAATGAAAGAACCACATTATCTCCACTCTGGACAACAAGTATTTTTATCGTCGATTGCAAACTATGGACAGCAAACCATGAATAACGAACCGCAACAGCATTTGAATGTAAATTTAATACAGTATATGATTGACATTTGGATTATGATTGAAATGATTGTTTGTTTGAATAGCAACAGCCAATACGTCTAATATATCCGAATCCAAACGCATCACAATTACAGTCAGGTATTCAATCGTTTGGTGGTCTAATGAATGGCTCGCATCCGCACCAATCTGTAGCCAATCAAATGAATTCAATGTCTTTTCCTCTCCAATCGTCTTCAAATGGAATCAATTTCGCTGGCAATCAATCAAATATTCAAAATAATACATTGATTTCGCCCCCAATTAATGGTCCGTTTGGGACACCTCTTCAGGTAGTGATTGCATATATTGTGACCAAATATTGTGATCGTTTTATTTGACTCGAAATGTATTTGTTTTGAAGGTTCCGTCAAATATGGGAAATGTATGGATCATTGGTAACGGACTGTACCCGCAGTCGACATCACCGATGATAGCGTGTCCACCGCCTGCTAATACTCCTCCGAGCGGTTCGATTGGTTCAAACATCGCTCCATTCGTAGGCATGTCTTACCAACACTATAGGCCGCAAATGAACTCAAACGCAGCTCAATCCAGAGCACCCCCACTGCTCAAAAACCATCCAATTATGACACCTCAGGCCAATCCGCACCGCATTGTCTCATCCAATGGCAACCAATATGTTCAGCAATCAGTGCCCGAAATGCTAGACATAATGGGTGCCAATAATTATGTAAACCGAGGCCCTGTTGTGCCGCAAGTGAATCAAATGCGGCGAATGCCCGTCAATATGAATCAAGGCCTCGACGTGCGACTCGTGGGCCAGCAATCGTCGCCACCTTTTCTACTACCAACTCCTCAAAGACAATACTTTCC